TATATCACCCTCACTAGAGTGCTGTGGAGTCACAGCTCACAGCAACCTCAAACTCTTGGATTTAAGCAATTCTCTTGCCTCAGCCTCCCAAGTAGCTGGGACTATAGGCACCCGCCACAATGCCTGGCTATTCTTTTGTTGTAGTTGTCATTGTTTAGCAGTCCCAGGCCAGGTTCAAACCTTCCATGTATGTGGCCGGCACCCTAGCCACTGAGCTACGGGTGTGCCACATGGGAAAAGTTTTTATATCCTTCTTAAAATCACTGTGTTATAATTAGGATCTTGGCCTTTAATATTATATTCCACATAGACAAAGAATAGCAGATGACTTTATGCAGCATGCAGACAGAATAGAAAATCAAGTCTAGGACTCAACTCAGGGAGTGTGTGTGCATGTGCATGTGTGCCCACAAATGCCCGTGTGCACATTTGTTTATTGTTGGAGAGATTCTATAGGCGGCACTGCTCACATCTTTAGCCTACATTTTCCATGTAATACCAGCAGACATATTTTCAGTACCTACTGCATGCCAGGCATTCTCAGTAAGTGTGTTAGCCATATGGGCACATTCAATTCTGTACAGTTAAGGAATATTGCTATTATGCCCACTTACAAACAAGAGAACTGAGAATAGGAGCTTTCCCGAGGCCACCACACAGGTAAGTGGCAGAAGCTGTGTGCTCCTAGACACCTATCATCATTCCTCCTCCCTGAAAGGATTTCTTCCAGAACTCTGTGCCAGCAAAAACCTTTTCCCTAAGAAATCAGTTTGTCTCTTTGTTTTTGTACAGCATGAGCCATGTGCCTGCTCAGACTTCCTTTTCTGCTTTGATCAACAAGAAAATCAGAGCCAAATTGTGGTGCACATATAATGACTCAATATTCTTTATTTAGGGTTGGACTTTTATAAAGTAAGAAAATTATCTGTTGGGTTGTCAAGACTGTTGAAGACATTATTTTTTTTAATTGCTTGTTTATGGTACTTTGGATGAACACGTCTTACACTTTTAGGTATTCTGATCTACTGATTTTTTTCTTCTTAAAGTATTTGCATTGCTTTTATCCTAAGTTCTGAGATTAGTTAGCATTCACTGACATATATAGTCTCTTCCAGTTTTAATGATCTTATATTTTGCTTTCTATTTTAAACTCTATGAAGAATTTATTTCAATGTATGATATAAATTAAAGACATATATAAGGTTTATTTTATGTTGTTTTGTTTTTCTCAAAGGCCCAATTTCCCTATATGATCAGTTGAATAATTTTTTCCCCCTGAAAAAATGTGATGCTTCCTCAACAATACATGAAACTTGCAAGTTTCAGAATCTATTCAGTCCCTGTAATCCTTGCATTCTATTAATTTTTGCAGCTTTAATATATATTTTCAAACCTGGTAAAGCTATTTTTCTTTATTATTCCTAATAGTCTTCTTTTCAAATTGATGTTAGTGATTTTTGACTGTATATTCTTCTTGATGAACTGTGTATTCACGAGTACAGAAAAGGAGGCTAAAAAGAAAATTCCTTTTATGTTATTGAATGAGTTGCATTCAGCTTATATTTAGAAAGAGCTTAACATTTTGATAACATTTTATAGAAACGTTAAAGTATCTTTTTGTCTCTCAGTAACATCTTCTGGTTTGTTTAATACAGGTCCTAGAGATTTCTGCTTAAGGTTCAACATATTTTATGTTTTCCTAGCGATCTTTTGAATGTGATATTTACCATATAATCTATTTACTATTGTAAACAGAAAAGCCATTTACTTGGTATTCTTATGACTTTCATGAGCACTCACTCTTTTTGGTAGATTCATTCTATCAGACAGGTAGACTTGTGGTCTACAAATGGGGATGATTTTCTATCCCAATACGTCTAATCTTATGATTAATACTAAACAAATGGTTGATTCTAACCATCTTTTTCTTTTTCCAGATTTAATAAGACCGTGTCTACTGTTTCTCCAAAATAGAGAACTTGCAGGTTTAAGATGGACATTTTTTATTACGTCAGAGATATCCATATTTAAAGGATATGTCAGAGATATCCATATTTTAAGGAGGTCAATAACCTCCTTTATTGAAAATGTATCTTAAACAATCACAAATGCATTTTCTTCTTCTACTAAACAACCATATAATTTTTTCCTATTTGTCACATAATGAAGCTGTTCATTGCATTGACAGATTACCTAATTTTAACTCTTCTTGCATTCCTACGATAAACTCTACTTGTTTCGGTAGATCATTCTTTTGAATGTGTCTTGCTGACATACTGACCGTTATAGTTACATGTAACATTGGCCTATAGTTTTCTATCTTTTTTATTGCTAATAACTGTCAGCTTGAAAAACAAAATAATAATAGTTTGATAATGTAAATTTGATAGCTTTCATTTTTTTTTTTTGTTTGCCAAATTATATGGTAGGAGAATTACTGGTTCTTAAAAGTTAAGGGAATTTCTCCTCATTATCTCATAGTCATTTTGGAGGAATATCAAGGGTTTTTGATTTATGGGCACAGATTCCTTACACTTGTTATTTTCTGAACTTTTCCATGTTATGTTCAGCTATTTTCACTTGCTCCTATTTAATAATGAAAGGATTTTTAAGACTGGTTCATAATTTTGTTCTTTCATAAACAAAGTAAAGGTAAATTATGTTTAACAAAGCAAAAGAATTAATGTAGTATTTGCTTTTGAAAAATCCACCCAAACTGGCCCCCATTTTTCTTTCTTTCTTTCTTT